CTATTTTGTTCCACCTCTCCCTTGGCATTTTCTAAAGTGTTTTTGAACCTGTTCGATAATGATATTGTTTACACCTAAAAATGAACCAATAAAGTAAGACCATGTGTCAAGTTTAGATCCAATTTATAAGGAGAGTTAATAGGCCAAAATGGGCTGGGTTAGCTTTGAGTTTAAAGGCCTAGATGGAATTTTAAAGGGGCTGGATTTAAGTGGAAGAGGATAAGATGGTTTTGGTGGTTGAATTTGATTCAAATTAGGAAGTTTAGGGTTTTTAGGAGAAGGTTATTCCTAGGGTTTTATTAGAGTTAAAATTGAAACAAAACTGTCAGCTGCTAAACAACTACCCAGACGTAGAATCCCCACTACTCGATCATGGTGGGAGAGGGTTGAAAAAAATGGAGGAGGTTTACCAACACCAAAGAAAAGGAAAATAGGAGGAAAAAAAATAAGAGAGATGGCATACCCTATAGAATTTGCCCAATGCATATGTTTTTTCAACTTTCAAACTGTTTTTTATAGATTTCAGCATAAATTTCAGATTAATTTGCAATATCTGTTCTTGTTCATAGCTTTAGTTTAGGTTTTTCCATTCTTGTTTGTTTTTTCCCTCAAAGATTTCAACTTTAGTTAGTTTTTTGAAGAATTTGGAAATGATTCAACCTTAAAAACAAGTCTATCCTGTTGATTTAGTTAGTTTTTCTTTCTCTTATGAATTCATCTTTGTTAGTTTTTCTTTCTCTTATGGATCCATCTTTGTTATTTGTTTCTGTAAATAAGTTGAATACTTTCTGCCATCTTTCTTTTGTTTTTGTGCAATTGCCAAACTTGTAATTTGTTTAATTTCAATTTCTAGATTAATATTTAATTTTATAAGTTTCCAGACTTTAATTATTTCATAAATTCTCCTTCAACTTTGTTTATCAAGTAATTCAATTATTTTTATTTTAAATCTACAAGTAATTAGTTTAATTATTATAGATCATGAAGTTAAAATTAGTGTTTATAATCCTACACAGTTTGTTGTTTATGAGTTTATTTTTGTGGCATGTTATTCTACTTTATTTATTTCATATTAAATTAATTACCTTAAGATATTGCATTTATTTTAGGATTTGTAGTTTTTATTACATTTTTATGATTGTAAAGTCATTAAAAGTGTTCAAGGCAATTACTAATCTTTTTTGCATAACTTCACCCTCTATTTTGCAACATCATATGAAGTGCAGTTTATTTTATAAACATTCTTTTCAACTATCTTTTTGGAGGTCAATCATTGAAAGGAGAAATATCGTCTGAAAAATCTTATTTTCTTGTTTTTAGAATAACTTCACCTTCTACAAGCAAGTGACATGTCTTATTTTCAAGCTTGCGTGGTTAAGGCTGAGTAAGGGTTTTTGGGAAACAGATATGCAACGTTCGTGCAAGATTTATCTGATCTTGACGACTTGACCCAATTCAATTTATGTGTATCATTGCCACATTTCCTAAAAAGAAGCATAAAATTGTGTATATAGCAGTGTCTTTTAACTAATTTTGATCTTTTCAATTTTACTATGCCAATCAATTGTTTGAGGCCAAAATGATACTATGCCAATAAAATAAAAGAAGTAATGATAAATAAAGAAAATATTCAAATAAAAATACAAAGTTTGCCATTTTTTTCCTTAACTAATCCTCCAAACCCTTTGTTGAGAAATATTTTATCGCAATTTGTTTGTTATACATTATGCTTTCACGCTCCAAAAACTGCTGTGTCCCAACCTGCAAATTCAAGAAGAATCAGTAAAAGCAGCAACTTTCCCCACCCGGATTAACTCAACCTTCAGGGAGGAACTCCCACCAATCACAAATGACTGCAACCGTTACAACCGTGGCTAGAAATGACGGGGCTGAAATTGATGATGGCTTCTTCTGCCTCGTGGGGTGGAGATGAATTGGGGCCATGGAGTTAGGGAAAGTGGGGGTAATGCTTCACTCACCGCACGTGAAGTACAGCGGATGGTCCACCAAATGATTTCGATTCAAGTGGAAAAATGGATATCACTGGATGTGGATGCAATTGCAAATTCTCGATGCCTCATTCACATGGGGTTGCAGAAAAAAAAAAAAGGTGAAAGTGATGCATATTTTATTGGTGGAAACCAAAACATTAACTTCAAAAGATCATTTCGCAAGTGGCACAAAAGCTTTCGAGTCAAAGGCAAAAAATGGCCTAGATGCTCGGCAGGTTTCACGAGATCGTATATCCTAGCATATGAGGAATGTAGAAAGCTACTGATCACAAGAATTGATTTGATATTTAATTCAACCTGTGACCGTATCATATGTCAAAGCAATTGGGGCTGCATGTTGTAGAAAACCATTAACCATTTGTGGTTGAGAAGATATCAAAGTCTTTTAATTTTAGTTATTTGAATTAAGATTGTTTTAAAAAGAAAAATAAGCAATTAAAAAAAATAGTTTGAAGTACATTTTATCATTTTGAATTTGAAAATTGTTTTTAAAAAAAAAATAGGGACAGCCATTCCTTTTTTTAAGTTTGAAATTTATTTTACTATCTTTTTGGAGTTGAAGTTTTTTCTGTTGAGCAAATACTATAGTTTTGGAATTTGAAGTCTGATGTTTTGAGTTTTTTATTTTAATCAATGATATTTCGAGTTATATTTTCGTTTATTATTATTATTATTTTTCATGAATCTGGTTCTTTTTGGGGATGTGAAAAAAGAATCTTTAAATAGGAATCTCAAGGGCATTTTGGGTGCACAGAATAAAGTTTTAAACGCAATACCGGCTTGCTCGGTTAACACTCGATTTGACCGGCATTTGTCGGTGAACCAGAGCGCACATGCACGCATCATTCCGACAGAAAGAAAAAATCTTAAAAGAGAGTGATAGCCCCTGTATTAGTCCCTAAACTTAGTTCTTTTCTTAATTTCACGCTCAAACTTGTTTTTGAGCTAAGTAAGTCCCAGCCTTTGATGTCCAGTTAAGGGCTAAAGATAACTACAAAATTCAAGTGAGTCTGCCACAGCCCCGTTACACTTAGTTTTGTAAGACTCCGCTTGGTATGATTGTTGTTTTGGGTTTGTAATTTTAGTTTTCATAAATTTTGTAAATTTTGGTAACCAAAATTAAAAAGTAAAAATTAATAATTTGCATATGAGAAGTTTTAATAACATTGATAACAAAAAATATAAACTGGTTTAATAGTATTCAAACTATTTTTATTTTTATTTATCTAATAATCATGGTAATATATGTAAAAACATAGGAAAATAAATAAAGGTTTTTTTTTCTATTTAGGATTGTAAAATTTATAAAAACAAAAACAAAAACCCAAAATCATAATTATACCAAATAAAGCCTAAATTTTTTAGTATTACTTTCTTAAAAAATTTGAAACAAATAATTTTTTTTTTTACCTAAAACATAAATTTTAAAATTTAAAGAAACTATTGAGAAAAGTGGTTCATTTGGGAGTTAGGAAAAATCTCACATTAAAAAAAATATAATAAGAATAAGTGAAATAGATATGTAAAAACTCATAAATTCTAATAGGTTAATCTTTTAAGTTAAAAGTGATGTCTTGAACTTATATATATTAGACTTATTCGAGCTCTTGCAAACTCACTCGTTCAACAAAAACAATTATTAATTTTAAAAATATTCACAAATAATTTCATTATGATTATCATATTTTAAAATTGACCGTAATACATCTTAATTTTAATGAATAGTTATCCAAAAGTGTAAACAATACAACCACCACAATCCTAACATTACATTACAATTGCAAACAAAACATATGTCACCCTCATTTTATGAAAGTTAGCTAGACGTTTGAGCATGAAATCTCATTATTGATTTAGTAATGTGAAAAAATGGCAATATGGTTCCCACATGGAGCACTACTATAAATAGTTGTGTAAATTTACACTTTATTTTTTATTTGACAATCGTATCCACTTCTTAAACATGCATCAACAACTAGCTATTGTAAAGTTATCTACTTAAAGTAAAAAATCAATTCATTATTTACTTCAACATAAAAACTAGTAATTAATTATAAACTAAAAGGTAAATACATATAAAAACCTTAAAATAGACAAATGTGAGAGCATTTGAAACTAAGGAGTGTTGCTAGCACTATCCTTCCCGTTTAATGAAGACATCATTTGGACAAAGATCATATGACTTTTCAAGTTAAAACCTATATTCAGTCTTCCATGACAACTCATACCTCATGGGTTTAATTACCCAAAATAAAAATTAAGTACGAAATTACAAAAGAAACCAAAGTCTATGGGCTATCATCAACGTTATTCCAATATATTTTTGAAGGGAGGAATTCCTACGGCCAGGACGGTACAAAATTCAAAAAATTAGTAGAAGTAACCGAGGTGTGGTAATGGTCATGAAAGGAATTATCAAGGCCAAGAAAAATGAATTAAAAAATATTAGTTTTATTTGATTT